TCTCTTGTTGCTCATGCAGTGTGGGCACGGGCGTTATCATGCTGAAACTCGTGGTTGCGGCGACGTGCCAAATGAGGTATGGCGTGTGGGCTCAAGTTTGATCAATGTATCTGAGCTGCTGTGTCACCATTGCTTCCCCCTGAACCGATGTTTTGGAAGATCACAGGGCTGATCCTATGTGCACGACCAATTCCACCCAACACCATGATGCTCGGACCACCCCACGAGTCTCTCTCAACAACACAAGCATCCGAATAACCCGGTGAAGGGTAAACAACTATATTTAACTATAGCTGTATCATTTACAGTTAGTTTCTCCACCATTACAACCATAACAAGTCACTCATGTTAATAAGAATCTGTTTGCATCTGACGCAGTTTGTAATCGAATTTGCCCTAATGTAGCAGCCATCTTGATTTCTTGACATATTGAATGTTAACGTATGGTTTCAATGGATTCCTTGTACATGAAAACATACAGCGAAATGTTTTATTTGTGGTCCCACCATGTTTAGTACCCAAGATATGACAAAAATGAATTTTTAAAGTTTCTGTGGCGGCCATTTTGAATTTATCAAATTTGTGGGTTAACCGTTGAAATGCAGGCGGGCAAACCCCCTAAATCAATTTAGAACATACCAATACGTCCAGAAAAGTTGTATGTTAGCCGCAAACATGAAAACCATTAACATTTTCTGAAAATTCGCCTAGTCTACTATGTTTACATGAAATCTATAATCAAATTTATTTCTAAATTTCCTTCTACTATTTTCAATCCAGGATATGTCTGTGGTTTTATGACGAACTCTACCCACAAAAAATCAACTCTTATTCCGACACTTGAATAAGAATACAATCTGATAATCTTGAAAATGTAGCCACCACTCAACGTTTGTCTTCTCCGCTATGACAGTTGGTGACAGAGGCGGAGCTAGAATCAACTGAAGAAATTTGAATCAAATCTACTAATTTATCAACCAGAATATATAGAGATAATTATACGAACATGTGTGTCATAGTGACACTCTTTTCGTAAAATTAGTACGACACACATATTAGTGTAAATATTTTTTTATTACCAATTATTTCTTAATCCTTTCGAGCTCTCCTCTAGAAAAATGTATTGTTTAAAACCCCTGTCCTCTGAAATTACAATTTGTCGAATGCTGTTCATAATATTCAGCTATGACATCTTTCCTTGTGTTATGTAATTTCGACCTCACGTCACAATGAGACATATGAGATATGTGGTGATTCTGGTGAAATGGTCCGCGATGCAATTGTGTTTGGGTCAAATTCACGTGAAGTTCGAGAAAAACTGCTGCAGGAAGGTTCTTCTAGTTTCAATGGTAACAGTCACAAGGGGAGACAACACTATGACAAGCATGATAAAGGTGACAAACAGCATGGCAGGGAAACAGAACAGTGTGAAAATTGCGAATTCAGACATTTCAGTGGTCAAAAGTTTCCAGCCCGAGGTGAATATGCGATACTTGTGATAAATGGAATCATTTCGCAAGTATGTGTAAATCCAGCCAGAGAAAAGGACACTCAAAGAAACGCATTGATTGTGTTGATGAAACACCTAATTCTGACTCAGAATTATTCATTGATACAGTGTCTGATGGAAATGAACATATGGACCAAGCCTACACTGAACTTTTGATCGGACATTAGAATATTCCTGTTCATTTCAAGTTAGATACAGGTTCAAAGGTCAACACCATACCAGCTAGCATGTGTAAATCCAGCCAGAGAAAAGGACACTCAAAGAAACGCACTGATTGTGTTGATGAAACACCTAATGCTGCTATTAATCTCAATATTGTGAAACTATGTTATTTCACGTACATTTTCGTGATTGAAAAAACTTTAATTAATCTCATCTTTATACTAAGAATTTGAATAAATACACTGCTTTATTAATCTCCATCTCAAGATGACCCTACCAAAACACCACTATACCTCTATTGATACCCTCTCCCAAACAGATTTTACGAGTCATTGATAACACGGATTACCCTTCGCCACGGAGAAACCACTCATGCATGGTAAGACCACCCAGGCATAGTGAAGCTCTAAACATTAGACGACCCGGGTTGTAATCGGATCACCACAGCTGAGTGGTTCCCCCATTCGGACTTGGTCGGGACCAGTGAAAACATCCGGTTAATGGTGATGTCCATTCGAAACACAAGTGATTTCAATACCAGCTTACGATAGCGTGCTTTCAACGCTCAAATAACTCCTTGATGCAGTGGCTGCAACACGTTTTCACGTTTCTCAATACGATGTTTGCATGAGATGAAGCATTACCTATAAACAGGGAATTTTTCCTTCACTGTGTACGCATCTGTTTATCTCTTCAACAGATTAGAAAAAAAGCTGGGAATTCACCCAAGTTGAATGATGAAAGACGAATTGTTAAGTCATTCACCATTGAGTGCATTTGAAAGTTGTAAAATATATGCCGAAAGTTGATAAAAATCATCGCCTTTTGTCATTCACCATTCGAATGTACTTAATGTTGTTAGTTGAATGACACAAAAAAATCGTCATTCGCCATTCGAATGTATTTTAATGTTGCAAGTTGAATGATGAAAGATTTGTTTTTTCGATATTCGTCGTTCATCAATCAAATGACGAAACAGTTCGTTATTAACCATTTGAGTATATTTAAAAGTTGTAAAATGAAAGACAAAAATGAAACAAAAATCATCGTCTTTCATCATTTGCCATTTGAATGTATTAAACGTTGTTAGTTGAATGACGAAAAGTGTCATCATTCCCCATTCGATTATATTGTAATCTTGTAAGTTGAATAACGAATGATGAAATAATTCATCATTCGCCATTCGAATGTATTTAATGTTGCAAGTTGAATGATGAAAGATTATATTTCTCGTTATTCACCATTCGTCAATCCAATGACGTAACAAAGAAAATATAATTTGATTAAAAACCTTTAAAAATTTAAACAATTCGCATTATACACTAATGTTGATGAGTATCCTAGACATCTTATGCTTAAGAATTAATAAACTTGCTTTTTCACAACAAATATACATTTAAAAAATGTAGGGGTCATATGGTGACAAAGTCATTTCTTACACCACTCTTCATTGAACCAATTAATTTTTATACCAAATTACCCAGCCACAGATTACAATTTTGAAACTGTTGCAAGAATCGGTGGTGGTTAAATAGATGTAGTCGGATTTAACACGAGTTCTTTCAATTTCGATTACATTAAAGTAGTCTTGGTATACTTTCTTTTGACCCTCATCATGTTACTAACCAGGTTTTGTCTAAGTTGTTTGAAATAATGTTCATTGTATCCAATTCTAGAGCCACACATTTATGTCTCATAAATAATCATGGTAATTCATTGACGAATGCATGGTACATCAATTTGTCACAACTCTTTGCCTGGACCGATCGTGCATGAAACCATGGTAGAAACTTGTGCACCATTTGGTGCTTCAGGGTAGTTTAATTGTGTAGTATTGTGCCAACAGGCACGCGTTACCTGGTGTGACGTACTTATGTTAATACATTTTCCACATCAAAGAACAAATACCATCACACAATAAAAGCAAGCATCATGATCAAAATAAAATTTAGAGTAATAAAAACGATGTTGCACTTCAAATCATATATTTGCATTTGTACATGAAAAAGCTTGGTAAAAATATTGGATATGCGCATTTGTCGAAAACGTCAATTGCAGTTATTTAGGTCACCGTGCGTATTTGGTGAGTGGCTGTGTGGCTGTGTGGCTGTGTAATTTTGGTTCAAGGCGGGGAACCCCAGAAATGGACTTCACACATTGTACCCATGTGGGACATCTAATTCGGGCTGAAGAACGCTTAAACCACTACCCGGAACCCTTCCAGTTATATCACGGTGTGCCAGCTTAAACGGTTTTAGATATGCGAGGTTTAAGTTGACAGCTTGGGTCGTGGCAAACACATGTGACAGAAATCTTCTTGAGGAAATACAGTAGAAGAGCTTGACTTTAACGGACCAGTTGTCGGACTGAACACAGATGAACACCTCTGACAAATTCTGCCTCAAACACAAATCTCATATCGTTGCGCGAGAGAACTTTCGAAGCACCATCACCATCATTAAAGCGTCATAAATATTCAATACTTTCAAATCTCTGCTCAAAATTCATCTCTTCAAAAAGTCAATAGCTTGACTAAGATCTCAATCGCTATACACATGAAAATGGTAGTGATGGGCTGCATATACTTTCTGCAGAATATTCATGACGCTTTAATCATGGTGCTGCTGCTTTGAAAGTTCTCTTGCCCAACGATATGAGATTTGTGTTTGAGGCAGAATGTTTTGCTGTTGAGATCATAAAGCTCTGGTGCCTTAGACAAATGATATTGAGCCACATGGATGTTAGCTGACATAAAATTTAATCGAGGGTATAAGCCGCTTCATAGAAAATATGTGCATTATTTAAGAATACAGCAGTCATATTGCATTTTTAAGGCTATTCAGGCTGTTAAACATATTTCCTGCAAATTGCGACTCCTACTAGAAATGATGAAACTATATAATGATCTTGCTTCTAGCCCACTGACTGACATTATAACGCGAAGGATGACTAGATGATTAAAACAATGTAATGAATCAGGTGATCTTTGTCATTGAGAATCAAGAAAGAACATCTTGACTAATTTATCGTGAAGAGCGCAAAACAGTTTGAGTTTGACATTACATTTTTCCAGCGCCGTTTTAGCTCTACTTTTTATCCAGACGCAGGTTTTTAAAAATAAGGAATTAAGAAGGGCAAAGCTATATATAAATAAATAAGAGAGTAATGACATTTTGCAATATGGCTCAGGTGGATTGGAATTCTATGAGCACTTTTAATTAAAAGCAACAAAAACATTTCTTTAATCATGAGATATGTGGTGATTCTGATGAGATATGTAGTATGATATGAGATATGTAGATATGAGATATGTGGTGATTCTGATGAAATGGTCCGCAATGCAATTGTGTTTGGATCAAATTCACGTGAAGTTCGAGAAAAACTGCTGCAGGAAGGTAAAGATATAGATTTGACAAAGGCTATAGATATTTCCCGTTCATATGAACTCTCGAAAGCACAAGTCGAAAGTATGTCAGGAGGAACAGGAAAAGTGGATCACATTTCTCGTTCACGAAGTAAGAAGAAAGCCAGTTCTTCTAGTTTCCATGGTAACAGTCACAAGGGGAGACAACACTGTGACATGCATGATAAAGGTGACAAACAGCATGGCAGGGAAACAGAACAGTGTGAAAATTGCGAATTCAGACATTTCAGTGGTCAAAAGTTTCCAGCCCGAGGTGAACATTGCGATACTTGTGATAAATGGAATCATTTCACAAGTATGTGTAAATCCAGCCAGAGAAAAGGACACTCAAAGAAACGCATTGATTGTGTTGATGAAACACCTAATTCTGACTCAGAATTATTCAATGATACATTGTCTGATTGAAATGAACATATGGACCAAGCCTACACTGAACTTTTGATCGGACATTAGAATATTCCGGTTCATTTCAAGTTAGATACAGGTTCAAAGGTCAACACCATACCAGCTAGCATATTTGAAGCTAAAAGTTTGAAGTACCCCCTGAAGCAAGCTAATGTCAAGCTACAAGGTTATGGAGGTGAATACATCAAGGTCAAAGGTCAATGTAACATGAAGGTCTACAACAGACATTCAAGTATGTCGCTTGATTTCTTCATTGTCGAAACTAAGGCTCCACTTGTTCTTAGTTTACGAACTTGTTTGGATCCGAAACTTGTCAAATTGATCCTAGCAGTCGACTCACAGCCTTCGTCGTCAGGTATGACTAAGGACTCTGTATTGAACGAGTTCGCTGATGTTTTCAAAGGAATAGGCAAACTCGAAGTTTAATGTAAACTACATCTCAAGCCTGATGTAACTCCAGTTATACATGCACCTCGACGTGTTGCATTTGCCATAAAGGACAAGGTGAAAGTACAGCAAGATCGAATTGAGGATCTCGGTGTCATTGCCAAGGTCAAGAAGAGCACAGCCTTGGTCAACTCACTAATTGTAGAGAAACCCAAAACTGGTCAACTACGGATATGCCTCGATCCCAAGGATCTCAATCAAGCCATCATGAGACCTCACTACAGAATGCCGACGTTTGAAGATGTAACTTCACAACTTGCAGGAGCCAAATATTTCAGCGTTTTGGACGCCAGGTCTGGATATTGGTCCATACAAGTAGATGAAGATTCGTCACTATTGACAACTTCAACAGTCCGTTTGGTCAATATCGTTTTCTATGCTTACCTTTTGGGATCAACTCATCACAAGATGAATTCCAGCGCAGAATGGATGAGATCAATGAGAACCTCGATGGATTCAATGTGATCGTCGATAACATTCTCGTGCATGGACAGTCAAAGGAGGAACATGATCGTCGTCTGAGAGCGATGTTACAGCGTTCTAGTGAGAAAGGCATTCATCTGAACCCAGATAAAACAGGGATTGGAGTACATGAAGTGAGTTACTTTGGTCACATTCTCTCTGCTGATGGGATCAAGCCCGACGCTAAGAAAGTGGATGCCATCCAGAAAATGGAAGCACCTAAGGATCAATCAGATTTGGAGAACGACCTGAGTAAGTTCGCACCTTTTCTCTCAAAGATAACTTTCCCTCTGGGAGATATGTTGAAACAAGATAATATGTTTCAATGGGACAGCAATGCGCAGATTGCCTTCAAGAAGATGAAGAATGCTGTAACCAGTACAGACTTCTTGGCCTACTATGATCCGAAGAAGGAGCACATCTCTTCAAGTGCATGCATCACAAAATGGTTTGGGAGCTGCTGTTCTCCAGGAAGGAAGACCAGTTGCATATGCTTCCAAGTCACTCACCCAGACTGAGTGTAACTATGCTCAGATCGAAAAGGAGATGTATGCCATCTTGTTTGCCTGTAAGAGATTTCATCAATATCTCTATGGGAGGAAGGCGAGAGTTGAGAGCGATCACAAGCCGATTGAAATCAGCATGACGAAGCCACTAGCTTTTGCCCCACCCAGGCTGCAAAGGATGTTATTGCAGTTACGAAAGTATGATATCACAGTGGTTCATCATCCAAGAAAGAGTATTCCTCTAGCGGATACACTGTCTAGAAAGTTTGTGACAAACTGTGATGATGACAATCTCAGTGATGGAGCTGAAATGCAAGTACATATGGTACTCACAACTGTGCCAGTGAGTGATGAAAGAACGTCCGAGGTGAGGATTTCAATACAGCAGGACCTTGTGTTGACAAAGTTGAAGTCAATTGTGAAACAAGGATGGCCAGACAAATGAAGAAACTGCCCTTCATCTATCCAACATCTCAGAGAAGGATGATATTCTCTTCAAAGGAGAGAGGATAATAGTGCCAGACAGGATGGAGTGCCTCAGGAAGTGATATCACATAATGGCACTCAATGCACAGCAGAGGAATTTGTTAACTTCACAAAGTGTTGGGGTTTCAAACATTCAACGTCTAGTCCTCACTACCCGCAGAGTAATGGTTTGGCTGAGAAAGGTGTGCAGATGGCCAAACGTCTGTTCGACAAAGTACCAGCTGATCACAGGGATCCAAGATTCAGCTTGTTGGAGTACAACAACACTCCCATCGGACATGTATAGCCCTACCAGATGTTAATGGAACGTCGCCTTCGTTCAACACTTCCAGTGACGTATGAAGAAATGAAACCGTCGTACACTTGTTATCAACCAGTGACAAACTCAAACCTGCTGTCAATCAAACTTGTGAAACCAAGCCTGAGACAAATGAGCAGAAAGTAACCAGAACACCAATCAAGACAGCAAATCCGAGTGTGAGTTCAAGTCCTGCACAGAACTTAGCACACATCACCAGGAGTGGTCGATCTGTGAAGCCTAAGGTCATGCTAGACCTATAATCATTTGACATTTGTTTAGTTAAATTGATTTGGTCAACATATCTGAGTTCATGTGAGTGAATAGTTAAATTTTATTGTCAAGCCAGAAAGTGGATTTCAAGCAAATGTGCTTTCTGTTTTATTTCATTGCAGTTTGTATTAATGTTGACGAACATATAATTGAGCTTTGTGTAGAACTGTAATGTCTAACTTTAATTTTTGAGAAGGGAGATGTAGTGATTTGTGGCAAATCTGCCAGGTTTTATGAGTGCTTCATAATCTTTATGCTATGTAGAGTCCCCCCCAAATCCCCGCACTAAATGCCATGTGATCCAAGATGGAGGATTAAACTAGTTTGCTCCCAGACAGTGAGTCTATCTTTAAAAGATACAAGAGTTACCTGTGATTGAAGATAACCCACATAACATTACAAGCTATGTCTGTTGAGTGCAGAGTTGATTGTATGATTCCACCTATATAAACGTGTGGAACACTATCCAATCGTGTTCGCGAAAAGGTGAGCGTAACCTGTCCAGCGCTGAGAACGTATACATTTAAACGAAATGTCAGTTCCATTGAGGCCATATGTATCATCGGAGGAGAAATAATAAATATGGTGACACAAGAGAAACGGGAGTATGTAAAAGTCCACCTTTTAACATGTTCCAATTTAAACATTCAAAACCATATAAATTGGTATTCCGGATATGGGATATACGAGTACTTGCTGCATACACAATTCCATAATAATACATTTTAACAAGCATGAATTACTCATATCCCCCGCCAATATGACATGTCCGGTTGTGTGCAATGCATTAGCTCCTGTGAATTATGTTCACCTGGCCTTTTTGTAAATGGCCTTATTGCAGCACTAAAAAAAAGGTTATTACTGATGTTGTCTTGCCATCTGCAGTATATGATAGAATATGTAACTGTATTTGTAATGAGTAAAGATGAGACATATGGACGAACAACTTCTTTATTACAATTAGGAGTGATGGATTCGGTGTAGATTCTATACTGTTATCAAGCAAGTGAACGACAGAGTATGGTTGACAAGAATATATACAGGGTAGGAGGCAGTGTTTATACAGTTGAGTAGGTTTAAGATCAGTTACGCTGTCATGGGCTACACATGGTGAACAAGTATGCCAAAATATGCATGTAACCCTCTCGTCAGCGTGAATGAAAATGCTGAGCAATGTAAGCCTCCTCTTGAACGTGAAAGACAACACTGATGAATACACGTAGACACACCTCGTTTTAGAAGAAGTACCTGAAGAACTGCCCTGCTTGATACACACCTCTGCCAATGATAATGACTCCACTGATTGAAGAACGCCTATACAGTTTCCCCTCACAGCCCGGGCGCGATAGTCCTACAGTTTGATATGCGTGTCCCATCTTCGTGACGAGAATCCGCGAAACAGTCAGGTACACAATAGTTTAAACCATCACATATCTACTTATCATGTTACAGTTGATCTAGAACTTGATGTTTTATCTGTCATTTATCATGATAACATACGTATGTCTAGCATGATACTTTTTAAAATCTTTACTAAGGTCTTGAATGTTGTAACCATGGTCAAGCAACGTTTGAGCAAGAATCGTATAACCATCTTTGACATCTTTGTAGAAAGAACATTCTCAATTGTTCCTGAAAACCAAATGCTGAAACTGCTGGAATAATTCCTCGATATGAAGTGAAGTTTGACCAGTGGAAAATGGAAGAAATCCAAATGGAGTTTAACGTCGTGTCCAAGATTGCACTTACATAATCTATCATATACTTCAGATGGCAAGACAACACCAGTAATAACTTTTTTTAGTGCTGCAATAAGGCCTTTCACAAAAAGGCCCAGTGAACATAATTCACAGGAGCATGCGAATGTGAAAAAAATTAGAAAGTGGGGAAAGTGATGGTGAAAGTGTCGAATGGGAGAGTGAACTACGTGTCGAAAGTACAAACGATGTTAGTATTTTATTATCCAAACTAATAATAATGTTTTGAATCTTAAATGTCTATAATCTTCTCGCAGACTTGCTCTCATCCCCTGTCACGAGAAACAAGATATTTCACACATTGAATACCCTAATTGTTAAAACATTTTGTGAAGTTGTCTACCGCGAAATTTAATTATGTCATTACAAATGTAAAGCCTTGAAACATAAATTCGCACTTAAGGGCAAGTAACAAAAATATTTAAAGTCAATAAAATGCTTTATCATACATTTGAATATGATTATATACAAAATCAACTATTCTTGAGCGTTGTAGCAAGCGAAAGAATACACGCTGGTCATGTGACAGAGATGGCGCTTTCCAAAAGAACAGTCTCGACTGGCGAGTTACATGAGAAATTTTCATTTCATAACGACATGTTTTCAAGAGAATAACAAACGGCAAGAAGCGATATTAACTCCACAAATGACCATCCGTTTACCCGTTCAGATCCGGGGTAGACTAATTCTTCAGCAACCCATGCTTGCCGTAAAATGCGACTATGCTTGTCGTAAGAGGCGACAAACGGGATCGGGTGGTCAGGCTCGCTGACGTGGTTGAAGCATGTCATCGATCGAAGCATCGTCAAAACAACCTGTCTACTTCTTTGGGTAAACAGGAGCAGAATCAACTGGACCTGATGACTTGAAGTCCTCCATAGATAGTCCTCGCAGGTGGGCAATGTGACCAATGATGGAGAAACAGGCGAATCCCACGAATACACCGCAAGTCACTACTGCATCCCTAAAGCAGAGAGGAAAAAAATCGTTATGGGGAATGGTAATATTGATAACGTCGCGTTCAAGATTATTGCACGTATATAACGACGTAGATGCACGTATGTGTGTGGCTGTTTGTACTCGTCCGAACTTATGCTGATTTTATGGTGCTAGCCCACTGAGATACTATCCACTGATTATATGAATGCCTTACTCAGTACACAGTATACTGACTCCGAGCCGACCAGTCCTTGTTTTAGCCGGCGTCATACCAAAAGACGTTAAAGGATGGTACTTGTTGTTACCCTGTCTGGCGCTCGGCATTAAGGGGCTAATACAAGGACTGGTCGGCTCGGGGTCTACTCGGAGTTTACTGTGTGGGGTATTCATGTTAAAATGCGGCATGGTATCTCAGTGTGCTAGCACTATAAATCGGCACCAGTACGGACTAGTACAAGCAGCCACACACACACATACACGTGCATGCACGTCGTTTTATAAGTTCAATAATCTTGGACGCGACGTTAAACCCCATTTCACCTCATCTCACCTTGTTTTAGCCATTTAATGCGGAGCGCCAGACACGGTAACAACAAGTACCATCTTTTGACGTCTTTTCTATGATGTAGCCCGTTATGAAACCCCGGACCTTCGGCTCTTCAGGCGGATAATTCATTGATAGTGAATCAGTGCGTTCCCTTATTTATATACATGTACTTATCCTTACACAACATTATGCAATATTCCTTCTTGCTTCGATCATATAACAGTATAGAACATTGTGAAAAAATAATCACTGGAACACACCCTCCGACCACCTCACTCCCAGAAGGCTCTTGCACCACTCATCACTTTTTTCACGATAGCCTGTATACAGGTGACAAGTGCAGCCAAGCGTTGAGGGGATGGGCGGGCAATTATGACCTGTTGTGTCAGGATAAGTATATAAATAAGGGGAATACTCTTATCCCCTTTAATTTTCAAATCATCCCTCCACAACAGTATGCAATTATCCCAAGGACGGCGGGTCGGATCAACTGCATATCCCCATTTGCGATTGAGTGAGTGGGCCAGAGCACACACTAGATTTGACTGCCACTTAATCTTCAATCCATGGGTGTGTTCAATTTCATTAGTCCCGTAATACATCACCACCTAATTTAGGGTAAGTTTGGGTCTAAAGTTGCGTCACTGGAGGTACTAGAAAGATCAGCAAAGACAGCGGGAGATGTCCTCTGTATCAGTAGACCCAACGATGTCAGTCAGCGGGGCGGGAGTGCAACATTAAGCCAAGATGTACCTCTGCACGTGGACCATGATCAAACTTGATTTGGGTGATCTGAGTTCACTGACACATGGTGCAGTGGCCGAGGACAGAAGAAAGGCAGTTTTCTGCATAAGAGGCTTTGGAGAGAGGTTCCAAATCCCAGGTTCGAGATCAAAACTTTATTCGCTCATCTGCCCTACGGTAACCACTAGGATAGTGGCGAGTTGAGCAGCAGTGGCGATACGAGTAGAACAGGAAGGCTAAGTTAATGTGGAGTGTGGATAATACGAATCTTCAACAAGTGCGCGACCGCCGACATGAGAGTCGTGAGGAGGGGCGACCGGTGGCGAAAGAACGAAAGATGCGCCCGGAGATGAGCTGGAAGGGTAGGCAGCGCCTGGCTGAGCGCGTGGAGATACGTCTGATGAGGCTCCCGCGCCTAATGATGCGCCTGAAGGTTCCAGATCGACTGACACGATGCAATTCGAGGCGTGTAATGCCAGTAGGCATCAGCAACAGACGACAGAACAAGCATTGACGTCATAGTTGAAGAGGCGCAGGTAGTTATGGCGGTGCCATCGTCATATCCATGGGACAAGCTACTGTGTAAGAGGCGGCAAAGCCTGAAGGATGGATCCACCCGATGATGACCCCGTAGGCATAGATGAGGTGGTGGAGGTGACAGTCACAGGCTTACGAGGTTGGGTCAAAGTCTGGCGCTGTATATGTTTGTGAGCCCTGAGTTTAGCCAC